GAACTACTACAAATTTTTACTACCGGTTCTTGTGAACCGGTGCAAACCAGGAGCAGCTGCCCAGTGTGCGTGCACACGCCAGGAAGATGAACTTCCGGTAGGTCCATTTTTTGCCCTCCCTGAGTCTCTGTGCACACTGTGCACTTTCCTGCATCCAAAACAGGCCAGGTGGGGACTCTTGGGAGCGGTGGCTCGAGATGGGCAGGAGGGATGGGTTCTAAATTTTTTTACTACCGGTTCTGTGGGCATGGCTTGTTTTGTCGGGGTGGCTTGGGGGGGTAATGTGACTGGGTGGGCGTGGCCAACTTTTTTTTTTTTTACTTTTAAAAGCATTTTTCGACAACCTTAAGAGATTGCAGAAAAAATTGCTTTGAAAAGCCTCTGCCGATCAGCTGAGATCGTCAGAGGCTTTTCAAAGCATTTTTTTTACCACCCCTTCGGCTGAAGAGGTTGTAAAAAAAATGCTTTGAAAAGCCTCTGACAATCCCAGCTGAGCCATGGGATCATCAGAGGCTTTTTTAAAAAACTTTTAACAGCATTTTTTCGGCCAAAGAGGTAAAAGTAAAAAAAAAAAAAAAAGCCTCTGATGAGGTGGGCGGGGTAAGCGAGCAGGGACCGGGCCGGGGACCAGTTCGGGGGTGTGGCCAGCCAATGTTATTACCGGTTCTCGGAACAAATTTTTACTACCGGTTCTTGCGAACCAGTGCGAACCGGGAGCAACCCACCACTGGTGGGGAGGGCCAGCCAAGAGTGGGATTTGTGGGTTCTCCAAACTGCACAGAATCTTCGCTAGAGTTTCTCACAAACCCCCATCAGGCCATGCCTGCTCTTCTCTAAATCCAGGAACCCCTCCCTCATATCTGCACAGCAGTTGCATAACACTAACTTCAATGTAAAATCGCAGTGGAGATTTCCCAACTGGCTGGGAAATTCCGGAAATTGAAATCCACCCTTCTGCAAGTTGCCAAAGTTGGGAAACTTTGGTCCAGCCACTACATGTATCTGGTGAATGGTGTTGCAGCTCACAAAAGAATACACCCAGTTATAAAATCTGAATTAGAAAAAAAAAATGCCAGCAGACACCATTTCAGGGTTAGATAGATAGATAGATAGATAGATAGATAGATAGATAGATAGATAGATAGATAGATAGATAGATAGATAGATAGAAAGATAGATGATGGATGGATAGATGATGACTAGCTAGTTAGATGATGGATGGATAGCTAGGTGACTAGGTAGCTAGATAGCTACATAACTAGATAGCTAGATAACTAGATGATAGCTAGTTAGCTAGCTAGGTAGATAGCTAGCTAGATAGGTAGATAGGTAGATAGGTAGATAGATGATAGATAGATAGATAGATAGATAGATAGATAGATAGATAGATAGACAGATAGATGATGATGGATGGATAGATGATAACTAGCTAGTTAAATGATGCCTTTGGCCTCTGCCTCCCAGCAATTTGCCTCCTTGCAGCAAACAGCCCGTTTCAGTTTCCGCTTCAGCACAGCCTAATTAGCACAAGCAGCTGATTGTCAGTTGGGTCAGCCTCCCAACCATCAGCTGTTTCAGGCTGCAGGGATTGCCATTGCCCATTGCCGCCTCCGCGCACCCCATTTCGGCCTCCGCTGTTTGGTGTTTGCTGCAAGGAGGCAAATTGCTGGGAGGCAGAGGCAGATTTTTGTTCTTGTGCTAATCAGATTGTGCTGACACTGAAACAGGCTGTTTGCTGCAAGGAGGCAAATTGCTGGGAGGCAGAGGCATTTTTTTTTTTTCTTGTGCTAATCAGACTGTGCTGAAAATGAAACTGAAACAGGCTGTTTGCTGCAAAGAGTGCTGGGACGGAGAGGCAGATTTTTTTTTTTCTTGTTTTCCTCCCCAAAAAAAGGTAGCTGCGTATTATAGTCTGGAGTTTCTTGTACTCCAAAAAATACGGTACTTAATTATATATTTAATCTACTTGAGGTATCCTGCTTTGAACAGAGGGTTGGACTAGAAGGCCTCTGAGGTCCCTTCCCCTGTTCTTCTTAAGAGTTTGTTACGGACCTTCCAAACAAACAAGCAGAGAAAAGAAAATTAAGAACGGATTTCAAAATTTTATTTTTTTCCATCTTTCCAGTTTTGAAGCATGTCTGTTTCATCTCAAACATCAGCATTATCCTTCTTTTAAAAAAATAAACAGATACATCTTTATTTTGTTAAGACAGCAAACAAGGTAGTATAGTTTCTCAACGTGGTTTCATTAATTTATTTTTGGGCCTTTCTTGACTCATTTTTATTTCTTTTTAGCAGCAAGCACGGTCTGTCCAAACAGAAATGGATTTAACTCTTCAAAATATTTTGGGGCTGTCTCACAACACCAAAGAACAGAGAGTTAATTAAAAGTTATTATATTGTGCGGATAACCGACCAACTCAATTGACAAATTCTCCGGACAGACCCAGATATACAAGGATAACCAAACCTGGTTAGACACCTGTGTGACAATCATAGTCAAACCAGTAGCTTAGCCTAAGTTGTTCAGCTGGGTCCTCCAAGCAACAGAGTTGGAGAGAAAGAGCACCTGAAAAAGGAAGCTTCTCCATTATTGAACTCGCCAAGTACTGTACCCTCCTTCCCGATTGGCCGAGCCACACCTACCTACCGCTGCCTTCTTGGCCAATGGGAAAGGGCTCGTACAGATAGTCCTCGATTTACGACCGCAGTGGGTGTGTGTGTCAGAATTTCCATATCTTAGCAAGGAGGTCACATGGTTAAGTGAGACATGTTGGATTTCATGACCTTTTCGGGCCACGGTCGTTAAGCGAATCACTGCCGTCGTTGAAGTGAGTCGCACGGTTGTAAAGTGAATCCAGCTTCTTCCATTGACTTTGCTTGTCAGAAGCTGGATGGGAAGGTTCCCAGAGGGTGACCCCAGGATCCTGGGGATGCCGCGACCGTCGTAAGTGTGAGGACAGGGCCATCGTTCTTATTATTCAGTGCTGTCTCTAAACGAATGTTTGTAAGTTGAGGACTACCCGTAATGCTATATAAGTGGACCCTCTCCTCTTTGTGGCAGCCCCTCAAATCCTGGAAGACTGCTATCTTGTCCCTCTTAGTCCTTCTTCTCTCTACACCAGTGTTTCTCAACCTTGGAAGCTTGAAGATGGGTGGACTTCAACTCCCAGAATCCCCCAGCCAGCAGCGCTGGCTGGGGGATTCTGGGAGTTGAAGTCCACCCATCTTCAAGCTTCCAAGGTTGAGAAACACTGGTGTAGAGTTGCCTTCCTAAACACCTTCAAAACTCCACTCCATCATCTCTTCTGGACCATGGTGGCTCTCTTTGATCCAAAGATCGAAGGGATGACCAACCTGGAGATGCCTTTTGCTTCCAGATCTCTCTACAACCTGCCTCGACCCTCCAGTCGCATATTTCCTACATCCTTGGTCCATCTGATGGGACAGCATCTCTTGGCTACCTTCTTTCTTTGGCTTCCTTCTGAGATGGCTTCCCCGACACACGTCCAATGCAGACGTTTTTAGTCTGATACGGGTAATCCTTGACTACTTACAACCAGGGTTGGGCCGCTGCAGGTTCGGGAGAACCTCTAGCTAAGATTCTGTGCAGTTTGGAGAACAACCCCCCAAATCCCACTCCTGGCTGGCCCCGCCCACCTGCCCATCCCATCCTCTGAGTCCCCATGTGGCCCGTTTTGGCGCACACGGGGGCTCGGCGAGGGTGAAAAACGGGCCTACTGGGAGTTCGCAAAGGCCGTTTCCGGCCACCAGAGGGCCTCTGGAGCCTGGGGAGGCCGTTTTTGCCCTCCCGGAGGCTCAAAAAAAAAAACCTCTGGAGCCTGGGGAGGGCAAAAAGCCCCCCTCCCTGAGTGGGGTGGGAATGGAGATTTTGCAGTATCCTTCCCCTGGAGTGGGGTGGAAATGGAGGTTTTGCAATAGCCTTCCCCTGCCATGCCCACCAAGCATGTCCCACAGAACCGGTAGGGATAGATTTTGGATTTCACCCCTGAGGTTGATATATAGATAGTCATCATAACATTCTTTTCTCAGAGAGTCAAGGACATCTTGCCCTGCACCTGGACGGCCAGAACTGGGAAGCAGCTCCAGTTGGGACGGTGCTTTGATTGGACCATGTGATGGACTTGTGGGCACAGGGCAGTGGTGAAATTTTTAAAAAATTTACTACCTGTTCTGTGGGCGTGGCCTGGTGGGTGTGGCTTGGTGGGCGTGGCAGGGGAAGGATACTGCAAAATCTCCATTCCCACCCCACTCCAGGGGAAAGGATACTGCAAAATCCCCATTCCCTCCCCAACTCCAGGGGAAAGGATACTGCAAAATCCCCATTCCCTCCCCACTCCAGGGGAAAGGATACTGCAAAATCCCCATTCCCTCCCCACTCCAGGGGAAAGGATACTGCAAAATCCCCATTCCCTCCCCACTCCAGGGGAAAGGATACTGCAAAATCCCATTCCCTCCCCACTCCAGGGGAAAGGATACTGCAAAATCTCCATTCCTTCCCCACTCCAGGGGAAAGGATACTGCAAAATCCCCATTCCCACCCTACTCTGGGGCCAGCCAGAGGTGGTATTTGCCGGTTCTCCGAACTACTCAAAATTTCCGCTACCGGTTCTCCAGAACCTGCTGGATTTCACCCCTGTGTGCAGGGAAAGGGTCTTGGATTTTCTTTTGGGTGGGGAAAACCTGGAAGCTTTCAGATTCGGGTTTTCCCAGATGTGCCAATAGGATATCTCTAATAAAATGCAATTTTGGTGAACTTCAAGCCTCAGAGTCTTCTTTCTTCTGTGTTACTTGGAATCCTGACATCTTGAACTCGGCAGGAATGAAGAATAGCCTGACTAGGTGGCTCAGCGGCTAAGACGCTGAGCTTGTCAATCAGAAAGGTCAGCAGTTCGGCGGTTCGAATCCCTAGTACAGGTCTGAGCAGGGGGCTGGACTAGATGACCTCCAAGGTCCCTTCCAACTCCGTTACTGTTACCTGCAGCTGAACTCAAAAAGTCCCAAGCAAAATTGGAGCCCACCTTCTCTTCTGCTTTGGCAGCCATTCGCCACCAACACAGGGAAACACAGTTACAGTTAGTCCTCGACTACGGCTATAATTGAGCCCAAAGTTTCTGTTGTTGAGCGAGGCATTTGCTAAATGAGCTTCGCCCCGTTTTATGACCTTTTTTTTCACCACTGTTAAGTGAATCAATGCAGTTGATAATTTAGTAGCAATGATCGTCCAGGGTATCTGGCTTCCCCCCAATTAACTTGGCTTGTCAAAAGGTCGCAAAAAGAGAATCAAGTGACCTTGGGACGCAGCAACGGTCGTAAGTACGAAGCAGTTGCCAAGCATCCAAATTTTGACCGCGTGATCCTGGGGATGCTGCAAAGGTCGTAACTGTGAAAAAAAAGGTCATAAGTCATTTTTTCCCCAGTGCTGTTGTAGCTTTGGGCAGTCGCTAAGTGAACTGCCGTAAGTCGAGGACTACCTGTAAATCCTCAATTTATGATCACAATGGAACCTAAGCGTGGGACATTGCTTAGGTGAGTTTTGCCCCATTTCACAACCTTTCTCGCCACCGTTGTTAAGTGAAGCATGCCAGGTGTTCAGTTAGTCGCACGGTTGTTAAGTGAATCCGGCTTCCCCATTGACGTGGCTTGTCAGAAAGGTCGCAAAAGGGGAATCGCGTGATCCAGGGACGATGCAACCGTCATAAATATGAGTCAATTGCCAAACATCTGGAATTTTGATCCCGCGACCATGGGGATGATGGGACGGTCGCAAGTGTGAAAAACAGCCCTAAGTCCAGAGCTGGGATTCACTTAACTTCCCTACCGGTTCGCAAATGTGAGCGTGTGCACTCGCTTCGTTCGGACATGCCTCCTCTGCCTTTGCACACAGCTTTACGTCTGGGCAGATGGGCAGAGCTTCATGCAGTGGCCGCTACCAATTCGCCCGAACCAGACAGAACCGGCTGAATCCCACCTCTGCCTAAGTCCCTTTTTTTCACTGCCGTTGTAACGTCAAACGGTCGTTTTCCTCCACGCCCAGGCGATCTTGAGGTATGAAGGCATCACCGGTGAGCTGGCAGTGCCCGCCGGTCCAGAACAGCCCCCGCGGTTGCCCCCTCCTGGCAACTACTTCTCCTTGGATCCCTCCGATTCGGGGAGGCTGCCCTGCAGGATCCGGATGGAAGCCGGCAAGCGGAAGAGGGCTACGGCAAAGGCGGCAAAGAGGACCAGGTTGCCCAGCATGGTGGCGCCCAGAACGACGAAAGTACAGGTGAACATGGCTGGCGGGGTGTGGGCGCTCAACCATGTTCGCCGAGAATTCATGTCGCCCAGGATGGCTTCCAGCTGGAAATGGGTGCCCACCACGGCACAGATGTGGAACAGCTGGTGGCTGTGGCCTACAAATGGGTGAGGGGAAAGGGGAGAATAACAGAATAATAGAGTTGGAAGGGACCTTGTAGGTCATCTAGTCCAGCCCCCCCCTCCACCCCACCCCCCGCCCAAGCAGGAGACCCTACTCCATTTCTGGCAGTCCAGTCTCTTCTTGAAAGCTTCCAGTGATGAAGAGTGAGAAAAGGACACGGAGAGGAATGAGCAGTATTTTAAAAAATGGCAGAGTTGGAAGGGACCTGTTGTGGGCTGTCGGCCGCCGGCCCCTCCAAGCGGCCGAATCGGAGGAAGAGGAGGAGGCGTGGGAGTCGGGGGTCGGCATCAGGGCAACCTGAGAGCTCCAAAGGGGAAGAGGGAATGGAGCTGGCAGAGAGAGAGAGACGGAGGCGGAGACTGGGCCGTCCATCAGCCCTCAGGTCTGGAGGTGGCTGATGAGGAAGAGGAGGAGCAGCTGGGTCCAGTGCCTGATACGCAGAAGGCAGAGGAGAGGAGAGCAGTGGAAATCTATGGGCCGGTCCTTGGAATGGAAGAGTAACTTCTGCTAGCGAAGGCCCACCTTAGCTCTGGGGATAAAAGGCAGGGGGCGGAGACGAATAGATGTGGCAGACAACTATTCATCTCCCTGCCGGACAGACTTGTTAGCCTGCGGTGAGAGAGAAACTTTTTGCCGGGGCTGCCGGAACTCCCAATTAAAGGAATCTTTGAGTTCACTTCAGAGGGTTTGTCGTCTTTGGGGAGCTGGCTCAGAATAGGATCTCAGAGGTCTTCAAGTCCAACCGGCTGCTCAAGGAGGAGATCCTATACCAAGGGAACTTTAAGACTTGTGGACTTCAACTCCCAGAATTCCCTTGGGCCAATCACCAGGGGACGGTGAGTTCTAGTCCCGTTTTAGGCGCGAAAGCCAGGCGTGTGACTTTGGGCCAATCACCAGGAGACTGGGAGTTCTAGTCCCACCTCAGGCATGAAAGCCAGCTGGGTGACTTTGGGCCAATCACCAGGAGACGGTGAGTTCTAGTCCCGTTTTAGGCATGAAAGCCCATTGGGTGACTTTGGGCCAATCACCAGGAGACTGGGAGTTCTAGTCCTGTTTTAGGCATGAAAGCCAGGTGTATGACTTTGGGCCAGTCACTCTTTATCAGTCCAACCCACCTCACAGGTTTGTTGTTGTGGGGAAAATAGGAGGAGGAAGGTTTGTTGGACATGGTTGTCACCTTGAGTTACAGGTAGTCCTCGACTTACAGCAGCTCATTTAGTGACCATTCAAAGTTACAACGGAACTGAAAAAAGGGACTTAGGACCCTTTCTCCCATTTCGTTGTAGCATCCCCATGTTGACATGATCAAAATTTGGCCCCTGACTCATATTTATGACGGTTGCAGTTTTGCAACCTGCTGACAAGCAAAGTCAATCAGGAAGCCAGATTCACTTAACAACCAGGTTACTAACTGAACAGCTGCTTGGGGGGCATTGATTCACTGAACAACTGTGGCAAGGAAGGTCGTAAAATGGGGCAACACTCACTTAACAACTGTCTCACTTAGCAACGGAAGTGTTGGGCTCCATCGTGATTGTAAATCGAGGACTACCTCATTTTTAAAAATAATGTATGTTGGATAGTAACAAACAAATTATTATCCATTATACATTTTATAAACACACATCCTCGCTTACCGATGAAATCGAAGCGACCGGGAGCCAGCCGTTCCGGGAGATGCGACGCAAAGAGGAAGCCGGTAAGCAGGGCAAAGAAAAGGTGGTAGAAATAACTGGCCACGGAGTCGTTCCACGTACAATCGTCTCCAAAACAGAAGCAAAGCTGGAAGGAAAGGAGACCACCATGAGTTGGCCCTGAAAAGAGGAATCAGGGTACAGCAGGGCCCATCTTCCCCAGCCGCCCAAACCATGGATGATGAGACCAGCACAGTCCTGCTTAATGACAAGATGGGAGTCGCCTTAAGTCGCTTGCAATTGATGTAAATTTATTCTCAATTGCCAAAACTCTTTACAGAACGACCGATTCCATATTTCTGGAGTAGGACATGACCACCTACTCATCTTTAAATATTATTTACATAAATAAATCTTTAACCGTAGTATTTATTCTCCAGAATCACATCAACGTTTCCTTCTAATTTGAAACCAGAATGGAGCTCCGTCTGGGCAAGATCAAATTACAGGTAGTCCTCGGCATACAACGGTTTATTTAGTGACCGTTGAAAGTTTTGTAACTTTTACAACGTTACAACGGCACTGAAAAAAAGGATTTATGACCCGTTACAACCGGTAGTAGCATCTCCATGATTATCTGATCAAAACTCAGATGCTTGGCAACCAGTTCATACTTATGACGGTTGCAGTGTCCCAAAATCATGTGAATCCCCTTTTGCAACCTTCTCGTGAACAAAGTCAACGGGGAAGCCAGATTCACTTAACAACCGGGTTGCTAACCTAAATAGATCTGCAGTGATTCACTTAACAAACATGGCAAGAAAGCTCGTAACGTGGGTCAAAAATCGTTTAACAAATGTCTCACTTAACCACAGAGATTTTGGGCTCGATTGTGGTCGTAAGTCGAGGACTACCTGGGTAAATCTCCCTTAATAGCCTGATAATGTCAGGAGGAGCCCTTTGATGCAGCCATCGTACAGCTGAGGGCTCGGCGTCCTCTTATCTAGCCATTCCCCAGGCAGCATCTCTTCCCCTCTAAATCTTCCAAGGTCAGCTCCAATGGTAGGATTCAGCGTTCGCGCCGGTTCGGGCGAACCGATAGTTAAATTGCTGGCTGGCTCCGCCCCTCCTCTCCCCGCCCCTTCCAGGAGTCCCCACGCGCCCCATTTTGGCTCCCAGGTAAGTGTAGAGATGCCTACTAGGCCAGTGGTGAAATTCAAATTTTTTTACTACCGGTTCTGTGGGTGTGGCTTGGTGGGCATGGCAGGGGAAGGATACTGCACAATCCCCATTCCCACCCTAGGGAAAGAATACTGCAAAATCCCCATTCCCTCCCCACTCCTGGGGGAAAGATACTGCAAAATCCCCATTCCCTCCCCACTCCAGGGGAAGGATACTGCAAAATCCCCATTCCTCCCCCACTCCAGGGGAAGGATACTGCAAAATCCCCATCCCCACCCCACTCCAGGGGAAGGATACTGCAAAATCCCCATCCCCACCCCACTCCAGGGGAAGGATACTGCAAAATCCCCATTCCATCCCCACTCCTGGGGGAAGTATAGCCACGGCCACCAAGCCAGTCATTCTCAACATTTCCAGAGATGTCCCCCAGCTCGGCAGTGTGGGCTAACCGACAGTTGATCCGTCTGATAGGCCCCACAGCCCTGCCCGGCGTCGCCTTCTCCCCTCCCTCTGGCGCCTACCCTGAAGAAGAGCGGGATGTTGTCGAAGAAGAACGGGTAGACGAAGGCAGCCGTCCGGGCGGTCTTGCTCCAGCGGGGCCACTCCAGCTCCAGGAACCTAGAGAGTGAGGAGGAGGACGAGGGAGAAGAGGAGGAGGAGGAGAAGAAGAGGAGGAGAAGTAGCAGGAGGAGCAGGAGGAGGAGGAGGAGAGGAAGAAGAGGAGGAGGATGAGAAGTAGCAGGAGGAGCAGGAAGAGCAGGAGGAGGAGGAGGAGGAGAGGAGGGGGAAGAGCAGGAGGAGGGGAAGGAGGGAGAAGAGCAGGAGGAGAAGGAGAAGAGGAAGAAGAGGAGGAGTTGGAGAAGGAGGAGGAGAAGAAAAGAGGAGGAGAAGGAGCAGGATAAGCAGGAAGGAGGAAGGGAAAGAGGAGGAGGAGAAGAAGAAGAGAAAGAGAAGGAGCAGGAGCAGGAAAAGAAGGAAGAGCAGTAGGAGGAGGAGAGGAAGAAGAGGAGGAAGGAGGAGGATGAGAAGTAGCAGGAGGAGGAGGAAGAGCAGGAGGAGGAGGAGAGAAGAGGGAGGGGAAGAGAGGAGGAGGAGGAGGAGAGGAAGAAGAGGAGGAGGACGAGAAGTAGCAGGAGGAGCAGGAAGAGCAGGAGGAGGGGAAGGAGGAGGAGAAGAGGAAGAGAAGAAGCAGGAAAAGAAGGAAGAGCAGGAGGAGGGGAAGGAGGGAGAAGAGCAGGAGGAGAAGGAGAAGAGGAAGAAGAGGAGGAGTTGGAGAAGGAGGAGGAGAAGAAAAGAGGAGGAGAAGGAGCAGGAGAAGCAGGAAGGAGAAGAAGAGGAAGAAGAAGAAGACGAAGAAGAAGAAGAAGAAGAAGAAGAAGAAGAAGAAGAAGAAGAAGAAGAAGAAGAAGAAGAAGAAGAAGAAGAAGAAGAAGAAGAAGAAGAAGAAGAAGAAGAAATGCCCTGACAGTGAGAACAATTCACCAGTGGAACTGCTTGCCACCAGAAGTTATGGATGCTCCATCGCTGGAGGTTTTTAAGAAGAGATCGAATAGCCAATTGTCTGAAATGGTACAGAGTCTCCTGCTTGAGCGGAGCGGGGTTGGACTAGAAGACCTCCAGGGTCCCTTCCAACTCTGTTATTCTGAAATACCTACCGAGAATAGCAAGAAAGGCTGGTGCAGATAAAAGAATTTAGGGCCGCCATGGGGACAAAGCAGTGGTGCCCCAGGCTGTTGACCCAACGATCCGGCATCGCGTAGGCGCCATAGGTGAATGCACAGCCTGAAACACACACAAGGACACGGTTAGGAGGCCGGCCTCTTTGCTAAGGCTGAGAACCGTGCAATGCTTCGCAGTGGGTTCCCTGTCCCATGGGGCAAAAACAGAGTTCTCAAGCCCATCTCCAGACTGCGCTGCATTTCATAGTTGTGAGTGCAAAATCAGAGCAGTTAAGGATGGTGTGATTGAGTATATAACTGTGCATTTCATTCACAGCAGTGTTTCCCAGTCTTGGCCCTTTAAAGATGGGTGGACTTCAACTCCCAGAATTCCCCAGCCTGTATGGCTGCCTGGGGAATTCTGGGAGTTGAAGTCATCCCAACTTAAAGCATGCTGTCTGGGGGATTCTGGGAACTGAAGTCCACCCATCTTAAAGTATGCTGCCTAGGGAATTCTGGGAGTTGAAGTCTTAAAGCATGCTGGCTGGGGAATTCTGGGAGTTGAGGTCCACCTCACTTAAAGCATGCTGCCTGGGGAATTCTGGGAGTTGAAGTCTTAAAGCATGGTGACTGGGGAATTCTGGGAGTTGAAGTCTTAAAGCATGGTGACGGGGGAATTCTGGGAGTTGAAGTCTTAAAGCACGCTGCCTGGGGAATTCTGGGAGTTGAAGTCTTAAAGCATGCTGTCTGGGGAATTCTGGGAGTTGAAGTCTTAAAGCACGCTGCCTGGGGAATTCTGGGAGTTGAAGTCTTAAAGCACGCTGCCTGGGGAATTCTGGGAGTTGAAAAACTCTGGCTCATTCTCTTCCCCAACCTTTACTTTATTTATTTATTTATTTGTCAAGCATGTATAAGATAACAGATATAAGTATAAACACAATTATGAATACGGGAAATAGATACGGATAAATGGGGACCATAGGACAGGGACGGTAGGCACGCTGGTGCGCTTATGCACGCCCCTGGCACCTTCTGTTCTGTCCCCAACCACACGCACACACACCAACAGACGTTCAAGAGTTAAAGACCAAACCAGCCGGCAAAATCCTTTTCCTTATGATAATGGAACTTGGCAACAACCTAGTGGCTGCTTGCCAAGAGTTTATTATTTACGAAGAGGAGAGATAACTTCTCCCCACTCCTGGTACATCAAAAGAAACAGCTCAATAATTACGGAGTCAATCAAGTCCAGAGATAATCCAGCAAAGTCTATAGCCAAAAGTCCGGCAATGCAGAATGGCGTGGAAGCTTTCAGCTTTGTTCGTCACAAGGTTTGACTGGCCACCACGCTCCCTTTTATATCCTGTGGGGTGTGGTCCAGTGACTCAGCCTAATCTCGGGCACGCCTTTTCTTCTGTTGCGCACGCTTATCTCTGCGACGCTGGCGTGGATCCAGCCAAGACTCATTACCCTCATCACTGTCCACCTGTGGCTGCGTGGACGTGCTTGGCTCCGGCCCTATCTCTTGCCCTTCGGCGGACACCGAAGGCATTGCCAGAGAGGAGGGTCCTGGAGAGGGAGGCCTTGCCAACTCCTCTCCTTCACTCTCAGAGTCCTCTCCTGCCGATGACACAGGCTCAGGTAACAGTGCCACAACACTTTCCAAGAAACTTTGAGGCTGCAGCCTCCAGAATCATCATCATCATCTTTTAATGACCCCATAATCCCTTGTAGGGGGTGGAGTCTGCACAACTAAATGGAGCTAGCGCAGTGTTTAATGGCCGGATGACTTTCCTGTCACCAGTGCGGAGTTACATATTCAGCAGATATATTCTCATTGTGCCCAGAGCAGTGGTGAAATGTAAAATTTGTTACTACTGCTTCTGTGGGCGTGGCCTGGTGGGGGGTGTAATATGACTGAGTGGGCGTGGCCCACTTTTTTTTTTTTTACTTTTAAAACCATTTTTTCTACAACCTCTTCAGCTGAAGAGGTTGTTAAAAAACCCTTTTAAAAGCCTCTGACGATCCCAGCTGAACCGTGCGATCATCAGAGGCTTTTTTTTTTTTTTTACTTTTAAAAGCATTTTTTCGGCCGAAGAGGTTGTAGAAAAAATACTTTTAAAAATAAAAAAAAAGCCTCTGATGATTGCACGGCTCAGCTGGGCATGAGGGTGGGGGGGCAGGGATTTTTGCTACCGGTTCTCCAAACCACCCGCCGCCATCGCTACCAGATCGGGCGATCCGGTCCGAACCGGGAGCATTTCACCCCTGGCCCAGAGAGAGAAATATCTGCCTCTACCTAGGATCGAACTCACAGCCTCCTGATTGTGAGGCGAGAGATCCCCCTCTAGGCCACCCCACCACTCAGCTCCAAGCTTCCAGAACGCCCCAGCAAACTCGGCATTTGGTCGGCTGAGGATTTGGGGAATTGTAGCGCCAACCCTCGGAAAGGTGAGACAGCTCAGCCTTAAAACCACCACAAGCGCCTTACCCAAACTATAGAGGCTGAGGGCATTGTAGTCCAAGAAGTAGCAGATGTGTCGCGCGTGGGTGGACATGGTACTGAAGGTGTGGGCGCAGCTGGACGCAAAGGGATAGAGGCAGACCAGAGCCATGTAGGCCAGGAATGGCCAGCTGTAAGTGTCGCTCCAGAAGTCCAGGCGATAGGAGAGCATCACAAATCGCCATAAGAAATACCTGTAAAGGTGAGAAAGACTATCACCCAGTGGTGAAATGTAAAATTTGTTACTACAGGTTCTGCGGGCGTGACTTGGTTGGTGGTGCGGGTAATATGACTGAGTGGGTGTGGCCAACTTTTTTTTTTTTTTACTTTTAAAACCATTTTTCTACAACCTCTTTGGCTGAAGAGGTTGTTAAAAAAATGCTTTTAAAGCCTCTGACGATCCCAGCTGACTTGCCTGATCGGCAGAGGCTTTTTCTCTTTTTTTAAGCCTCTGACAATCGCAGCTGACTTGCCTGATCGGCAGAGGCTTTTTCTTTTTATTTAAGCCTCTGACAATCCTAGCTGACTTGCCTGATCGGCAGAGGCTTTGTTTTTACTTTTAAAAGCATTTTTTCTATAACCTCTTTGGCCGAAGAGGTTGTAGAAAAAATGCTTTTAAAAATTAAAAAAAGCCTCTGATGATTGCGCGGCTCAGCTGGGTTATGGGGGAGGGGTAGGGATTTTTGCTACTGGTTCTCCGAACCACCTGCCACCATCGCTACTGGATCGGGCGATCCGGTCCAAACCAGGAACATTTCACCCCTGGTATCACCGCTGTGACCCCCTTCGGCCACTGAACTGACCCATCAAACAATGCAGACAACCTGGGAATGAAAATTCATTCATCCAGGCCAAAAGTACAAGGAGACCTCGATTTACAATGATTCGCTTAGTGACCGTTCGAAGCTATGAACGGCACTGAAAAAAAAGTGACTTATGACCCTTTTTCACACTTACGACCATCCCAGCATCTCCCATGGTTACGTGATCAAAATTCAAACACCTGGCAACTGATTCATACTTATGATGGTCACAGTATCCTGGGATCACGTCAGTGATGGGATTCAGCCGGTTCTGTCCAGTTCGGGTGAATCGGTAGCGGCGACTGTGGTAGGCCACGCCCCACGCATGCACGGAAGGTGCATGCCTGAGCAAACAGCATGGGTGGAAAGCCAAGAATGCGCGGAAGCACACATGCGCACTCACATTTGCGAACCGGTAGGGAAGATAAGTGAATCCCACCTCTGGGTCATGTGATCCCCTTTTCTGACCAGCAACATCAACGGGGAAGCTCAATTCACTTAACGACCGTGTGACTGATTTAACAACTGCAGTGATTCACTGAACAAATGTGGGTAGAAAAGTCGTAAAAATGGGCCAAAACTCACTTAACACATGTCGCACTGAGCAATATAAATTTTGAACTCAATTGCGGCGGTAAGTCGAGGACTACCCGTATCTCAAAAGGTTAAATCGTGGCCACTGGACCAAAGTTTATTAAGACGGAGACGTTTCGTTACTCGTCGAAGTCACTTCTTCAGTCAAAATGAAATTTTTGGGTAAGCAGAGAATCAGAGTCTCGTGGGAATGAACCAACCCTCGGCAACGACAATCGACAATTCAATTCTGAGTCACGCCAACGACCAGTGGTGGGATTCAAATAAATTAACAACTGGTTCTCTGCCCTAATGACCGGCTGGGTGGGCGTGGCCATGGTGGGCGTGGTCAGAGGGTGTGACAGGCAGCACTCTGCCTCCTGCACTCCCCTGGGAGCAAAAACGGACCACGGGGGGTACTGGCCCTCTGCGCCCCATTTTGGGCCTAGTAGGCCTCCCTGCAGCCTCCTGGAAGCAAAAATGGGCTGTGGAGGGCCCATTTTCCACATCCCCAGGCTCCATGCGCCCCCTGCACTTACCTGGATCCAAAACGGGCCGCGTGGGGACTCCTGGGAGGGGCGGGGCCAACCGATTGTTGGAACTACCGGTTCATCGAACCGGACATAAAATTAACATCCAGTTCGCTTGAACTTGTCCGAACCGGCTGAATCCCACCTCTGCCAACGATTTTCTGACTCTCTGCCTACCCGAAATTTCCTTTCGACTGAAGAAGTTACTTGGATGAGGAAACGCCTGGATTTTGATCCCGTGCAATGGTTGTAAGTGTGAAAATTGGTCACTTTTTTCCAGAGCTGTACCATTGTAAACCTTGAGCAGTCACTAAACGAATGTTGTAAGTCGAGGATTAGCTGTAATTCCTCCAGGGAGACAACCACCCGAGCAGTGTTGCGATTGGACAAAAAGAAGAAGAGAGGAACAGGACACAAGAGAAAGAGCAGGCACCAACCAAACTCCGAATTGTGGCTACAATCCACAGACTTACCACGTTGGAAGGAAGTGAGTCCAGATATTGACGGTTTCGTTGTTCAGTTGGAAGGAGCTGAGGACACAATCCAAGGCAGAACTTTTGGGGTGTCGGTACCCCGACATGATACCTTCTTCCCAGAAAACCTACAAGATAAAAAGCGAGGGATCCAAAAATGTTGGAATTACGACCCCCATGCTTCTGGGAACCCTGAAATCTCAGTGGAGGAGGTTCAACAGTCCTCAAACTTAACAGACTAACAGAAGAGTTAGGAGGGACCTTGGAGGTCTTCTAGTCCAACCCCCTGCTCAAGCAGGAGATTCTTCTCCTTTTCCTTCTCCTCCTCCGAATAATAATAACAATAAGTTGTGAGGGACCTTGGAGGTCTTCTAGTCCAATGCCTGCTCAAGCAGGAGACCCTTGTCTCCCCCTCCTCCTCCTCAACCACAACCACAAGCAAGATGGTTGTGAAATGACCGATTCCCCGATTTGTAACCTTTTCCTGCCACCGTTGTTAAGTGAATCACTGCGGTTTTGAAGGGAATGTCCGTGGAGAGTCTCAACCATCCATGGTTGCCCACTATAGAAGAATGGCTGCAGAAGATGATGGCATTGGCTGAAATGGCACAAAACGGACTACCTTGATCGAAAAAAAGAAGATAAAAGTATTTTTGTTCCCGCATGGAAACCGCTCCTGAACTTCATGCTTGATGTGGGAAAAAATGAAACTTTGACGTTGGGGGTTTACAGATTAGATTGATAGATTTTTATAAAAATGACTTGTTCATACTATTATGGGAAAGCAAAAAGCTGTGATTTGATGCTAATCAGTGGTGGGGTTTCACATAATTCCAATTTTTTTTACTACCGATTCTGTGGGCGTGGCTTGGTGGGCGTGGCATGGCATGGCTTGGTGGGCGTGGCAGGGGAAGGATACTGTAAAATCCCCATTTCCTCCCAATCATCTGGGACTCAGGAGGCAGAGACTAGATGGAGGAGTCAGAATTTTTACTACCCATTCTCCGAACTATCAAAATTTCCCCTACCGGTTCTCCAGAACTGGTCAGAACCTGCTGAAACCCACCTCTGACCGGTACGCTACGTACCAGAAATGTTAGCGTGCCGGTGCCATCTGCATACGCACGCAGCCTTCCACGCATGTGTTTGCTCATGCGCATGGCTTGCACGCATTCACGCGGCTTAGAAAATGTGACTAAATAGGACGGCATAGCGCTGGGACAGGTGGGCGGGATGGGTCCACCCACAGGTGGCCACTACCGGTTCGCTGAACCAGTTCAAACTGGCTGAATACCACCACTGATGTTAATGCAGGGATGAAATGCTACTGGTTCGGGCCAGTTCGCCCAAACTGGTAGTAAAAAATGTAAAAAAAAAACACGTTCCGATGATCAGCTGAGCAATGTGTGATCGTTGGAACTTTTTTTTTTTTTTTTTACTTTTTTAGCATTTTTTTTTTACTACCGGTTCTCCGGAAGTAAAAGCGAGCACATAAACGGGAGTCGCGCGCACATGCGCAAGGGGCAAGGGAAGCGCGGGGGTCCAAGCATTAATGCGAGGGTCACGTGTGCATGTGGGGGGGCAGGGCCTGTGGGGGGGATTGCATTATGGATGTCGGCACGCGTGTGCACGCTGTCTCACGCACGCGCGCACTTTCGGCACCCGAGGAAAAAGGCCCACCCACGATCTCTGCTACCAATTCGCCCGAACCAGTACGGACCAGCTGAATATCACCACTGCTCTGAAGTCCCTTCCAGTCCTGTCATTCCTTCCTGAATCCTGAGGACCGGACCAGGGGTAACAGGTGGAAGATCATTAAAGAGAGAAGCAACCTCAAATGAAGGAGAAACTTCCTAACAATGAGAACAATTAACCCGCGGAACAGCTTGCCACCAGAAACCATGGGTGCTCGATCACAGGGAAGTTCTTAAGAAGAGACTGCGCAGTCAACGTGTCTGGAATGGTGTAATCCATGTCTCCTGTTGTTGTGGCCCATCAGTGGCCTGTGCAGCTAGTAGCTGATTCCGACAGCGAGGAGGCTGGTGTGGTGCTGCGCCAACAGCCTGTGCAGCTGGCGCTCGAGTCGGACACTGAGGAGGCTGGAGAAGAGGTGGTGCCAGAGGCAGGGATTCAGCCAGGGCCTTCAGAACCTCCAGAAGCTCCCTTAAGTGAAGAGGAGGAAGAGGAGGAGCCTCTTCTTGATGCACGAGCGCGCAGAGCTGCCAAAAGGCAGGAGTGGCTCCTCAGGAGGAGGAGTAGCTTGGGGCTAACTGGCCACTCCCCTAACCTATTTAAGGAAGGAGGACGACTGAGGCAATTTGCAGGGAACAACTTCGTTCACATTCCTTCGCGTCTTGATTCGGCTTTTGTTTCTCTCATCAGTTTTCCTGCAAATTGCTTCTGGGCTTTCTGCCAACCCTAGTAAGATTACGATTATTTATTCTTTGGGTTCTTGTAGACTGTTAAGAAAGTTAATTAACAGCCTTTGTTTGGGGGAAAAAACCGATTTAATTTAGTAAACTAAAGTTTGTACAGACTGAGTGTGCTGCGTTCATTGGGGTCCGTAGCTGGGGCAGAACACTTGCTTGAGCAGGGACTAGATGACCTCCCAGGTCCCTTCCGAAACTGTTATTCTGTATTCTGAGTTTACTCACCGGAGGTACTTGATGGATCCTGAAGATTTGAGGCAACTTGATGGTTAACATTTCTGGGGACGGAGGCAGAATTCTTCTTAAAAGTATATACATATATACGTATCCCCAAAATAATTTCCCCTCAGGAGATGCACGTTTGGTGGTCCTTGGTGGTTGGTCCCCACCTTCTCTGGGACAGGACACGATAGGTTCAGCATTGGCGATCTGGTTCGGTTCCACCATGGGAAGCCAACTCTGCCACTGGATTAAAAACGACAACTGCTTTGGTACGCCCAGAAGTTACCACTTAACCCAACGCAGTGGAGAACTGTCAACAACAACAACGAAAAAGCGATTGAAGAATCACCTTGCCAAGCTTGATTGGGTGCTATCCCAAGTGTTAAGGTGTCTTTTCTCTAATTCAGGGTTTCTCCATCTTCTTGCTGGTTTTAAAGTGGGTGGACTTCAACTCCCACAATTCCTCAGCCGGCAGGGGAATTCTGGGAATTGAAGTCCACCCGTCTTCAAGTTGCCAAGGTTGAGAAACACCGCTAAATAAAAGACTAAAATAAAAGTCGTTAAATCATTCTCTCTCTCTCTCCCTCCCTCCCCCTCTCCCTCCCCCCCCTCTCCCCCTATCCCTCCCTCCCTCTTTCTCTCCCCCTTATCCCTTTCCCCCCTCTCCCCCTCTCCCTCCCTTTCTCTCACTCCCCCTCCCTTTCCCTCACCCTCCTTCCCTCCCTTTCCCTCTTTCCCCCTCCCTCCCTTCCCCTCTTTCACACTCTCCCTTTCCCCCTCTCTCCCTCTTCCTCCCTCTTTCTCTCTCTTCCCCTCTCCCTTTCCCTCTTTCTCCCCCTCTCCCTTTCCCTCTCCCCCCTCCCTCCCTCTTTCTCCCCCTCTCCCTCCCTCCATTTCTCTCCCTCCCACTCTGCCTCCCCCTCCCTTTCTCTCCCTCCCCTCTTTCTCCCCCTCCCTCTCCCTCTCTCCCTCTCCCTTTCCCTCCCGTCTCCCTCCCTCTTTCTTTCTCTCTCCCTCCCCCTCTCCCTCCCACTCCCCCTTTCTCTCTCTCTCCCCTTCCCCTCCCTCTCCTTCCCTCTCCC